GCCTTTCAGAACCTTCTGGAGTCTCCTTCAGGGTCTGCAGAAGCCCTCAGAATCTGGGATCTGAAAGCCAAGAAGGGATGGAACAGAATATCGGTCCCAGAGCAAGGGAGTCCCGTAATCTCAGTGCCTGGGTTGCCACTCTCTGTATCTCAGATGGTGAGCAAACACAGAGTAAGGGCCCTGACTATGGTCTGGAGGTATGGTCCAGTTTGCTCCAGAGCAGTGTCCTACAACTCCCATCATCCCTATTGGTCATGGCAACTGGGGCTGATGGGAATTGGAGTTTGAAGCTCCTGTTTTGATAGCTCATTGGTAGAATATGTGCTTTGCCTGCAGACGGTTCAAGGCTTCATTCGACAGTAATGGGGATCAGGTAACAGGGCGAAGGGAAAGAAGACCCTTTCTGCCAGGAGAGCTGTTGCCAGTCAGAGTCTGCGATATTGGGATAGGTGGGCATTAGTCTGAGCTGACTTAAGGCTTCTTCCTTAGGTTCCTGCACATCTCTCAATCCTCTAGCTCAAGGGTAGGGAAACTTCGGCCCTCCAGATGTTGCTGAACTACAACTCCCATCGCCATCTACCATGCTTGCTGGGGATGATGGGAGTTGTAGTTCAGCAACGTTTGGAGAGCCAAAGGTTGCCCACCCCTCCTCTGGGTTTTCCTGTTGTACAGGTTGGTTGCATCTATGTGCATTCACAACTTTCTCATACAGAACACATATATTCAGCTCCTGTGTTTGCTCTCAGAGGAAGCAGCAAATTGGGATAGGAGTGCCATCTACTGAATTACTCAGAATGCCTTAGCAGAGAAATATTTCACGTACTGCTGTCAGGCATCCATCAGAGAGATGTCTGAAGCACCATTTCCAGCAGCCTTTCCCAATCTGATGTCCTGGAATTTGACAACCCATCAGCCCCCATCAAGCCTGGCTGTGCCAACCTGGTGCCACCAGGCATCCATACAGAACATCTGGCAAATGCCGATTTAAGCTTTTGCCTGCAATTTAAAGTGGGCCGGAAATCGCTCAGATGCATTGCAATCAAAAGGCTGAAGCCAATTATGTTGTCGGATTACTGAGCTCTATCTAGATGTAATAGCTGAATTTTCGTGTTCAATTTGGTAAATGCAGTCTATATCGAACTGGCAGACAGGCTGACATGTTTGTTGTGGAATGCAGCCTTTATGATGCATGGTAACGGTGATAATGATCTAGGCCAAGATCCAAGGAAATACCTTTGGGGTAGTTCCTGAGGGCTTGGATATGCTCATTAGGTGCTGTGATTAGAATTATAGAATTGTAGAGTTGGAAGGGACGCGGGTGGTGCTGTGGGTAAAAGCCTCAGCACCTAGGGCTTGCCGATCGAAAGGTCGGCGGTTCGAATCCCCGCGGCGGGGTGCGCTCCCGTTGCTCGGTCCCAGCGCCTGCCAACCTAGCAGTTCAAAAGCACCCCCGGGTGCAAGTAGATAAATAGGGACCACTTACTGGCGGGAAGGTAAACGGCGTTTCCGTGTGCGGCTCTGGCTCGCCAGATGCAGCTTTGTCACGCTGGCCACGTGACCTGGAAGTGTCTGCGGACAGCGCTGGCCCCCGGCCTCTTAAGTGAGATGGGCGCACAACCCTAGAGTCTGTCAAGACTGGCCCATACGGGCAGGGGTACCTTTACCTTTACCTTAGAGTTGGAAGGAGGGACCATGAGGGTCATCTAGTCCAACCCCTTGCAACGCAGGGATCTTTTGCCCAACATGGGACTCGAACCCACAACCCTGAGATTAGGAGTCTTGTACTTTACTGACTGAGCTATCCCAGTAATTTAAATAAATAAATAAAGCCATTTTTGAGTGGCAGGTGCCCATGCTGTATATTAGCAGTGGGGAATCTCTGGCCTGGGGTGGGGGTGTTTAATGTGACCCTCTAGGCCAGTGTTTCCCAACCTTTTTTGGGCAAAGGCACACTTGTTTGATGAAAAAATCTCGAGGCACACCACCATTACAGCCCCGTGACGTCAGCGCGCAGCATCACGCCGGGAGGGACGCACGAAAGTGTAACTTTCAATTTTTTTCCCTCCCCCTTGCCGGGGAACCTCCAAGCTTTGGGGGTGGGGGGGAGGAGGCAGGGGGAGGAGCTCGGGAAGCTGCGCGCGGCGATGTTGACGCGGGGCGCGCGAGAGCTTGGGGGCGGGGCGGGAGAGAGAGAGAGAAAGAGTTGGCAGCACCAGGCGCTGTTACTTATTGCGCTGCGGATGCTGCCAGCAACTGCGGTGGTTGTGCGGCGGCCGCCACCGCAGAACGTCCTCGTCAGTCAGCTGAGCTGCCTGGCGGCGTAGGGAGCCGAGGGGCGGGGCTTCCTTTCTGAAGGAGCTGAGGGTGGGGGTCCTCCGGCACCTTCGGCGAAACGGCGCCGGCCCAGAGCGCTTCTAGGAGGCTGCCTTTGTGCGCGACGTAAAGCCCTCTTTCCCTCCCTCCAGCCCCATGTCACATGTGGAATAAATAAAAACTGTGGCTGCATTGTAGCTACATCCTGGCCTCGGATCCCCGCGGATTTGCCTAATCCTTTGGAAGCCCCCCCTCCCCGGCCCCCCATTGTTCTGTCGGGGGTCCCGCGCCCCCCTCTCGCCTGTCCCCCGGGCTTTGTTCTCGATTTGGAGAGGCGGCGAGGCTCAGCTCCGGCTCCGGGAGAGGGAGGCTGCCTTCCAGCCCGCCGTGCGCCCCGGGAGCCTGGACGGCGGGGACGGGAAGGAAGGCGCTTTGGGGGGCGCGGGGCGCCGTCCCGCCGTCGCCTCTCCCAGCAGCCCGGCAGGTAGGGGAGGGCGCGGAGGGGCGCCCAGCGCGGAGCTGGGAGCCTCTGCGAGGCCCCAGCGCGGAGCTGGGAGCCTCCGCGATACCCCGGCGCGGAGCTGGGAGCCTCCGCGAGGCCCCGGCTCGACGGGGCAGGATAAAAAGGCGGCGCCGGCTCGCAGCGCCTCCCCGAGCGCCCTTTGCACTCCGACCGGCGGAAGCGGAGGCTACGCGGCTGCGGCCGCCCAGCCTGGCCGGGGATGGCGGGGCACCAGGTACCGGCAGCCCTCGAGGGGAGGCGCCGGCGGCGTCCAGGGACCGCGCCCGCCCGGCCCGGGAGGCGGTGCAGCGCCAGATGTTGCCGCTGCTGGAGAGCCTCCGAGCCCCGGGAGGCTGCGCGCGGTGGTGGCGGCGGCGTCCAGGCGCGCTGGGGGATGCGGGAGCCGAGGGGGCGCCCGCGGGGAAGGGAAGGGGAACCCCCTCCTCTGCAGCGGGGCCCGAGGGCCTTGATCCAGATGGGCCGTGGCGCTCCAGCGTCTCCTCCGGTGGAGAGCGGGCGACCTCCGGTTGGGGGCAGCAGGGGTGCCAAATGGATTAAAATATTGGGGGGCGCCCAGGTAAGCCCCACTCCAGGATAGATGGATTTCTATCCTCCGGGGGTCCTCCGGCGCCTTCGGCGAAACGGCGCCGGCCCAGAGCGCTTCTAGGAGGCTGCCTTTGTGCGCGACGTAAAGCCCTCTTTCCCTCCCTCCAGCCCCGTGTCACATGTGGAAAAGGGGGCTGGATCCAGTGACGCAACTCGGAAAACTGTTAGGGAAGCCAGAGCAGGAAAGTGAGTGGGAGGCGGCGTCGCCGCTTTAACCCACGTTTCCTTTTTGAAAGAGAAACCAGTGTTTCCCAACCTTTTTTGGACTCGCTCGCGGCACACCAGGCAACAGCTCGCGGCACATTAGTGTGCCGCGGAACACCGGTTGGGAAACACTGCTCTAGGCTTCTCTGTATGTGCCCTTGGGACTCTTCCAGAGCCACACACGCTCCTCATTCTTTCCTCCTCCTTGCTCACATACCCTCCGACATTCCTCTGATGAAGATAGGGACGTCCTATTCAATAATAAGGGATGCGGGTGGCGCTGTGGGTTAAACCACAGAACCTAGGACTTGCTGATCAGAAGGTCGGCGGTTTGAATCCCCGCAACGGGGTGAGCTCCCGTTGTTCGGTCTCTGCTCCTGCCAACCTAGCAGTTTGAAAGCACGTCAAAGTGCAAGTAGATAAATAGGTACCGCTCTGGCGGGAAGGTAAACGGCGTTTCTGTGTGCTGCTCTGGTTCGCCAGAAGCGGCTTAGTCATGCTGGCCACATGACCCGGAAGCTGTATGCCGGCTCCCTCGGCCAATAAAGCGAGATGAGCACCGCAACCCTAGAGTCATCCGCGACTGGACCTAATGGTCAGGGGTCCCTTTACCTTTACCTTATTCAATAATAATCATTACAATAATTTTGTTGTCTGTGTCCTTCCCATTAGGCTGGGTCGCCACAGCCACTCTGGGTGGCTTCCAGCACATATAAAACATAACAAAACAAAACATCAAACCTTAAAAACTTCCCTACAGAGGGCTGCCTTCAGATGTCTTCTAAAAGCCGAATAGTTGTTTATTTCCTTGACATCTGATGGGAGGGCGTTCCACAAGGCAGGTGCCACTACCGAGAAGGCCCTCTGCCTAGTTCCCTATAACCTTGTGTCTCTCAGTTAGGGAACCACCAGAAGGCCCTGCATGCTAGATCTCAGTTTCTGGGCTGAGCGATGGGGGTGGAGACACTCCTTCAGGAATACGGGGCTGAGGCATTCCCCCTTTAGTAATGTGGTTTGGTTTGGTGAGTACAGTGGTACCTCGGGTTAAGAACTTAATTCATTCTGGAGGTCTGTTCTTAACCTGAAACGGTTCTTAACCTGAAGGACCACTTTAGCTAATGGGGCCTCCTGCTGCTGCTGCTGCTGCGCCGTCGCTGCACAATTTCTGTTCTCATCCTGAAGCAAAGTTCTTAACCCAAGGTAATATTTCTGGGTTAGCAGAGTCTGTAACCTGAAGCGTATGCAACCCGAGGTACCACTGTCTTAACTTTGTAAGCTACTGATCATCATGCAATGTGATCTCAAGATCCTGCGAGGTTGTCGAAAGCTGAGCACCGATAATATCCTAAAACAGCTGTCCTCCTCTTTTGAACAGGGAAAGTATTTATTCCAAAGCCAAAGCCGGTACAGTCTTACACAGAAGAAAAAGTGAGTCTTGATCCGGAGCTGGAGGAAGCATTGACAAGCGCTACAGACACTGAACTATGTGACATTGCAGGTTGGTGTGTATGTGTGTGTTGAGTTTGATTTAGCTTTTCTAAAAGCATGTAAGTATTCTTAAGGCTTCTTCCTACAGCAGGAATGGGAAGCCACAAATGGTTGGACTACAACTCCCATCATCCCTAACCATTCGCCATGTTGGCTGGGGCTGATGGGAGTGGGGAGTCCCAACGATATCAGGAGAGCTACAGGTTCCAGTCTCTGGCATAGACGATGATGGTATGAGCCATATCTCAGAAGCAGTGCATGCATGTTAGTGGCGCTGTACAAGGAGTCATAAGAATGACTTTGGTCTTTGGGAAATTCTGCTACAGATTCATGTTTCGGTCGCGTTAATGGCCCAGCTGCAAAACCTAACCGCTGTTTGTTTCTCCTTTCTCCTGAACAGCTATCCTGGGAATGCACAACTTGATAAGCAACTCTCAGTTTTGCGATATTGTGGGAAGTAGCAACGGTGTCGCCAATGAAAGTTTCTCAAGTGAGTTTTCTTGCTGAAAGTCCGAAAATGCAACATTGTGGGTTGGACTGAAAGTGAGCCTCGCTGAGATGGGTTTCCTAGTGCAACTGAGCACTTGCAGACACACGGTGGATTATCTATGTTTCCATTTTTATTTTTATTTTAAAGTGTCCTAAGCTATTGTTCTGGACAAGGCAGCAGCTTAATAGGATTCCTTCGGAGTCCCAAGGCTACTCAGTTGTGAGAGGTGACTTGGTGGGTCTCTTATGCCTTTGTTAAGGAGGTCCAATAGACTCTTCTCATCATAATATTCCTGTGAGGCTTAATTGCACAGTTTTATGGCCCGTCTGCACAACAACAACAATTTATTATTTATATCCCGCCCATCTGGCTGGGTTTCCCCAGCCACTCTGGGCGGCTCCCAACAGAATTTTAATAATAATAATAATAATAATAATAATAATAATAATAATTTAAAGTGATAAAACATCAACATTGATCCAAGGAGCATCTTTAAAAACTGAGCATGTGGTGCAGGCATGAATCTTCAGGATGTCTCCCCTCTTTACCATGACTTTACCTTCTGCACAACTAGCGGCACATTGTGCCATGGGGGTACAAAACCGAAAAGGTCCAGAAAGTCAAGTCAATCCGTCTGAACAGCTTTCAAGACAAGACAAGAACAGAAGAAGGGATCTGAATGGCTGCTAACTGATCCAACTGACAGGGCTTTCAGCCAGGGATCCTTTCAAAGAACTCACCTGGCCTCCTAGGAAACAAAACATTCCCCAGGATTCCACAGCTGTAAGGCGGCTGGCTGAGGGAGAGGCAGTAGGCAGACGCAAGTCCCACCGCTGCCATTTCAGGCAGCACAGAACCTGCAGGCGCCTAAGCCCACGTCACTCCTAAAAAGTTTTGTGAGCCCTTTAAGAAAAATAAAATCATTTTGTCCCGTCCCCCCCCCCCACAGTGATGACACCTGGGGTGCACCCCCCTTCCTCCGCCACTGTCTTTCCCATGACTTTACCTTCTACAACACCAGCGGCACAAAGATCTTCAGAACCAAAAAGGTCCAGAAAGTCAGTCAAACAGCTTTCAAGACCACAAAAGGATTGCTGCTTTATGGGCTGCTAACTGATCCAACTGGCTTTCAACTGACCCAGGGATGCTTTCAAAGAACTCACCTGGCCTCCTAGGAAACAAAACATTCCCCAGGATTCCACAGCTGGTTGTGAGGTCAGAGCCTGGCCAAGGACGGGGAGCCAATGGGCTCTGGGCTCCAGGAACGCTCTCTCTGCCAGGCCCAGGGCACCACTGGGCAACCTCAGGCAGCTGCCAAGTGTCTCACCCACCTTCTTTCCCTCAGAGAATCCCAGGCACTGAAGTTTACCTCTCACAGAGTTAAAATTCCCAGCAACTGAACAAGAACAAGAATAGTTTACTTATACCCCGCCCATTGGGCTGGGTTTCCCCAGCCACTCTGGGCAGCTCCCTACAGAATATTAAAACAATAAAACAGGCTTCCTCAACCTCAGCCCTCCAGATGTTTTTAGCCTACAACTCCCATGATCCCTAGCTAGCAGGACCAGTGGTCAGGGATGATGGGAATTGTAGTCTCAAAACATCTGGAGGGCTGAGGTTGAGGAAGCCTGGAATAAAACATCAAACATTAAAAACTTTCCTAAACAAGGCGGCCTTCAGATGTCTTCTAAAAGTTAGATAGTTTTATTTCCTTGACATCGGATGGGAGGGCGTTCCACAGGGCGGGCGCCACTACCGAGAAGGCCCTCTGCCTGGTTCTCTGCAACCTCACCTCTCGCAGTAGGGGAACCACCAGAAGGCCCTGCATGCTAGATCTCAGTGTCTGGGCTGAACGATGGGGGTGGAGACGCTCCTTCAGGTATACTGGGCTGAGACCATTTAGGGCTTTAAAGGTCAGCACCAACACTTTGAATTTTTCAATCACCCCTCCCCCCCCCACAAACACTATACGTTTAAAGCAGTGTCATACCACTTTAAATAGTCATGGCTTCCCCACCACAATGCAACAGAGCTCATCATGATTGAACAGTCAGTCCTTCTCCCAGGGAACTCTGCTCAAGATCCTTTCTGCTGGAGGAAGGATTTTTTGGGAGCACCAACCCATTGGCAGTCCAACACAATACACATAAAGGGATGTAACGATTTGTTTGTATGGTTGTATTGAAGGAAGGTGAGGACAGGTGACCTCACCTAGGCCCGAAGTCACACCCCCCCCAAGCAGGCTCAAAGCTTCTCAAAGCTTTTCAAAATCATTTTCTCAGCCTCTAAGCATCAGAAACATTCCGCTTGCTGTAACTAAAAAGATTGCAACAAGGTAGAGAACAGAGCCCATTGTCTTCTCAGGCCTTTCTCAGAACCACATTGCAACTTGCTTTCTCTCCGGGAACCATGCCAAAGCACAAGAATGAAACAACGGGAACACTCTGAAAACCCCCTCACCCCCTTTCCTGCCAAGAGTCCACAATAGTCCCAAGACAGCTTTCTGTACATGCTCAGGAACCTCAACATGGGGCAGGACTCCTGAGGGAGGAGAAAGGGGGAGGGAACTAGAAAGGGGCATATATGCTTGTGCACATGATTGTGAACTCGTGCATGCTTTTGTGGACTATCACACTTGCTCCTTCTACCAGTTCATGGATGGTAGAAATAAAAGCCTTTTCTCCGAAACTATTCCTTGAGTGTCTGTTGACTCCCACTTCCTTTTCCCAGGCGCAATATTTTTCCCACCCGAGGGCAAAGCCTCATAAGGCTACAGTATCAGACTCGTTCAGAGCAGGCTCCCTAATTTCAGCTGGTCTACTGCGAGTACAATTTAGTGGGATACAACCTGTAATTTATCTTTTTGCCATTCCAGATTTTTCATTTAAAGTTCTCCCAATATCAGCAACACATGACATCTTGAGGAAGCGGTGGGGCATTGTTATGAATTTTGTTTTCTAGTGAAGGGTTGCCCTTATTATTATTAAAATTTATATACCGTCCTATACCCACAGGTCTCAGGGCGGTTCACAAGATAAAATCACAATATAAAAACACAAAATACATAATCAAAATAAAAACAAGAACAACTCAGTAACCTCCCACAAATAATCAGAGAAGGAAACACACAATATTTGTAATAAAACATATAAAAATAAGAACCCATCAGATACCATCAAGGAGTACAGGTGGTGCCTCGCAAGACGAAATTAATTCGTTCTGCGAGTTTTGTCGCCTTGCGATTTTTTTCGTCTTGCGAAGCACGGTGTCGGGAAAGTTTTGGAAAAGCTTCAAAAATCACCAAAGTCTTTAAAAACCTCAAAAAAGGCTACCACACCACGTTCTATGAGTTGCTCCTCGAAGTCAAGTCGCAACTGTATTAACGGTGTTAAGAAAAAGGAAACAAACTTGCAAGACGTTTCCGTCTTGCGAAGCAAGCCCATAGGGAAAATCGTCTTGCGAAGCAGCTCAAAAAACAAAAAACCCTTTCGTCTAGCGAGTTTTTTGTCTTGCGAGGCATTTGTCTTGCGACGTACCACTGTAAATTAAAAGATCAATGTAACTGTCTTTCAAATCAAAACATTTTAGCCATTAGGTTTTTTTACAATTGAATTGGAATAGAATTGAGTTTCCTTCTGGACTGCATTGGCATGGGCAATATATTTTTTAAAGAACTCAAGATATGGGAGGTTGTGCTGTGTACTTTGGTTTAGCCCTATGTTTCCATACTACAGACTTCTCCCTGTGGAATTTTGTTGATGGTAGTTGACATTTTGCCCTGACAGAAAAATGTTGCAACACCTGAACCTGCATTTTAAAACTAGTACCAGCACCATTTGGGTGTGTGATTGAAAAATTCAGTGTTCGTGTTTCTCACATTCCCTGTCTCTCGATTCAGATGTGGTCAAAGGTGAAAAGATCATGCCCGTCTTCAATGAGCCACCAAATCCCACAAATGTAGAGGAGAGTTTGCAAAGGATTAAAGACAACGATTCGCGCCTTGTAGAAGTCAACTTGAACAACATAAAGGTAACTGTGAAGCATACAGAGAACAGCAGGGATGGAGAGCCAGTGGCTCTCCAGATATTGCTGGACTACAACTCCCATGATCCCTGACTCAAACACGTTGGCCAAGGCTGATGAGAGTCCAACAGCATCCGGTGGGGTACAGGTGCCTGTTCCTGGAGTCCAGAAATGTAGCTTTCAAAATGACCAGAATTTCTGTGTCCGTGGCAATGTGGCTCCAGTGTTTTATGATGGCAAATAGTGTGCTTAACTTACTACAATGCAAGTTGTTATTTAATTACAGTCGTACCTTGGAAGTTGAACGGAATCTGTTCCGGAAGTCTGTTCGACTTCCAAAACCAAATTGCGGCTTCTGATTGGCTGCAGGAAGCTCCTGCAACCAATCAGAAGCTGTGGAAGCCCTGTCGGACGTTCAGGTTCCAAAAGAACATTCGCAAACCGGAACAATCATTTCCGGGTTTGCGGCATTTGGGAGCCAAAGCGTACGAGTTCCAGGGCATTTGGGATCCAAGGTACGACTGTATTGTTTTTATTTTGGTTTCTTGATCTGTGGATATTTACAGTGGCACTTGCTGTCCTTGCTGAGAGTTGTTAGGAAATCCCTGTTCCCAGAGTTCCCTGGATTCACCGTGAACCACTCTGGGAATTTTAGCTCTCTCAAAGGGAAAAGGAACCCCGTAACAACTCTCGGCACCCTTAACAAAACTACAGCTCCGAAGATTACTTGCTGGAGGCCATGACTGTTTAAAGTGGTATGATACTGCTTTAAATGTTTAGTGCAGATGGGGCAAGTATCTGCCACCCTCTCCCCTCACTTTCCTCCCTCATGAAAATAGACCGAGGGCCCCACTGCTCCCAAGTTGAAGGAAGGAGGGAGCTGCCGTCATAATATTAATTGTGTCTTACTCTCTTTTAATTTTGATTGAAGAACATTCCCATTCCAACACTGAAAGAATTTGCCAAGGCATTGGAAACAAATACTTACGTGAAGAGCTTCAGCCTTGCGGCTACTCGGAGCAACGACCCTGTTGCTGTCGTAAGTGAGATTCCAGGGTTCGCTAATCTAGGGAGTTGTCTTGACACGAGGTACTCAAAACAATTGAGTTAAGGTAAAAGGTGGTACATGAGGGAGATATGCTTTCAAAACCTGTCGTTCCTTGGATAAGCTCAGACTAAGGCTGACACTAGGGGTCTCATTCTGGTGCAAGAGCCAGAGGACATCGTCAGAAGGGTCGGGGGCACGAGAGGGTTGTTTTATTGATTATAGTTTAGATATTATTGTAACTGTTGAGTGGATTTCTGTTTAACTTTTATATGTTGATATTATTTTATACTATTCTAATGATTGTTGAATGTTACTTTTTTGATGGAGGTTGCCTATTTTAAAGTTATGTTTTATTATCACATTTTTGTATTGCATTAGATTGTTATAAGATGTACATTTTTGTTTCTTCAGCTTGTAAACCGCCTTGAGTATTGTAAGATAGAAAGGCGGTATACAAATTAAAAATGATAAAATGATAATGAGGGGGAGATGAGGCAAGACTAGTCTCTTCAGCAGCTTTTCACAATAATGAGTTGTTCAAACTGAGAAATTGACTTGGATGTTTGGGTTTTTATAGGGCCTGGTGGGCTCTGATTGGCCAGGGGTTGGCCAGCTGACAGTGTTCCGGTAGTTTCTGAAGCCTAGGTGATACTGTTGCGCTGTAGAATTTAGCCAGGTTTGCAGGATGAGGCAAGACTTTTGGTGGCAGGGAAGTCTTGAACCAGGACACTGTCACCCTCATCGCCTTTTGAGTATTGACCGTTATAGTATAGGCTTTCATTCATGCCTGACATGGTCGCACTCTGCTTTGGTTTTCCATATGGGCTGATTTCATTGACCTCTCTTGTATTTCAAGGCTTTTGCCGACATGTTGAGGGTGAACAAAACACTGAAGAGTCTAAACATTGAATCCAACTTCATTACCGGTGTGGGCGTATTGGCATTGGTCGAAGCACTCAAGGAGAACGAAACCCTGACCGAAATAAAGATCGATAACCAGGTAACTTCAGCTGCTTCTTATGCAAAGTTAACTGTCAAAGTGCAGGCTAACCAAGGATCCAAAGCTTTGTTGTGAAAAATAAATAAATCTAGTTTGGTGGGGGTGAGGCTGAAGGTTGAGCTACTGGTCCACCTCTCAAATGACGCTGTTTGGTGGAAGCTGTAACTGCATAGATTCTGCATTCAGACCTTCTACTGAACACTGAGAGGGCTGAGAGATTGAAAGTGAAGGCCTGTTGGCCGCATTACACATTTCAAATGTCTCTTCTCAGCCTGAATGTTGTAGTGGGACAAATTTAGGCAAATTTATTCTTCAGAGGAGTGATGCCTTTGGAGTAATTAATCATTTCCTGAAGCATTTTTTAAATTAAAAAATTCCTTCCAGTAGCACCTTAGAGACCAACTAAGTTTGTTATTGGTATGAGCTTTCATGTGCATACATACTTATTCAGATTCTTCGTGCATGCACACGAAAGCTCATACCAAGATCAAACTTAGTTGGTCTCTAAGGTGCTACTGGAAGGAATTTTTTTTAATTTTGTTTTGACTACAGCAGACCAACACGGCTACCTACCTGTCACATTTTTTTAATCTACAACATGAATTTAACTCTCTCTCTTGCTTAGTTTTGTGTTGGTCTTGAACAGCCACCTTCCAATGACAGCAATTGCCGTGTAACTTTAATTGTTGAGACTAAAAATAGCTTTTTTTAAAAAAACAAACCACATGTTAGCTACTACTTACATACTAGTTATTAAACAAATTAATTTTGACAGTTGAGATAGGGATGTTGTGGCTATCTCATGTGGTTTGCAATCTCTGCACACGCATAGTCCATATCTGTCCTGTGCTTACAATTTTTTAAAATAATTAAATATGCTCTGATATCTTATATTTTACAAAATGGTTTGTCTGTTCTTCTCTGTGCATTTGGACACCTCTTAAGATACCGTAACCAAATACGCATGATGGTTTCTGAAAGCTGGTTTTCTTCTATGTTTGGATAAAACTGAGCACCATTCTGAATCAAGATGACAGACCGAACCTTTCAAAATGGCACTGACTTCTTAAAATCACTGGAGTTTTTATTAGTCTTTTAAAATTCTCAAGCAGTGTCAGTTCATAGAATCATAGAATTGGAAGGGACCCAAGGGTCATCTAGTCCAAACCCCTGTAATGCAGGAATCTCAGCTAATGCATCCATGGCAGATAGCCATCCAGCCTCTGCTTAAAAACCTCCTAGGAAGAAGAGTCCACCACCTCTTATGAGAGTCTATTCTACTGCCAAACAGCTCTTACTGTCAGTTGCGAGGCTGCCAGTGAAGGATCAAAGCATTACAGTGGTGCCTCACAAGACGAAATTAATCCGTTCCGCGAGTCTCTTCGTCTTGCGGTTTTTTTCGTCTTGCGAAGCACGGCTATTAGCGGCTTAGCGGCTATTAGCAGCTTTAAGAAAAAGGAAACAAACTCGCAAGAACTCGCAAAGCAAGCCCATAGGGAAATTCGTCTTGCGGAACGACTCAAAAAATGGAAAACCCTTTCGTCTAGCGAGTTTTTCATCTTGCGAGGCATTCATCTTGCGGGGCACCACTGTAATAATAATAATAATTTTATTTTTACCGTATCTGACTCTTAGTGAAAGCAAGAGATGATTTGCCTCGAGGTTTAATTTGGTGCCTGAAAGTTTAATAGTTTCTGAATTCGAAACATAACTCCTCTTAACTTACCCTTTTAGGGTCAAATCACCCATCTCAGTGTTCCCACTACTGATCTTAAAATCCCAAGGTCCTTAGGAGGCTTTATTTTGGGCAACCCTGGATCGACATTTGCTGATTTTCCAATGCTTTGCTGATTCCACCAGAGGCAGCAGTTGGGGACCCCTGCAGAAACGGAAATTGTGAAGATGCTTGAGGAGAACACAAAGATCCTCAAGTTCGGATATCACTTCACGCAGCAGGGACCGCGAGCCAGAGCAGCGGATGCAATTACGAAAAACAACGATTTGGGTAAGGCGTTTTCTGCCGCAGAACGAGCAGGCCTCAGTCACACTGAGCGTGGTGGCAGCTACCTGGCATAATTTGTGTAAGAATGTGTCTGTAAGGAAAGTTCAGCCTCTCCAGCTGGTATGCTCCCCCTACACATTGATTCCTCTTCAAGAGCCTTGTTGGATCAGGCCTAAGGCCTGTTTCAGGAGTGAGGAACCTCAAACTAAATGTGGCCCTCTAGGTTCCTCTTATCTTGCCTTCTTGTGCTTTTGCCTGACTGGAAAGTGTCCTTCAACTCTGATCATGCCTCTTACTTGCCTGGATGAAGGTGGGTGTGAAACTGCTGGATTTGTATAATTGGAATATAACCTGCCAAACAAAGGTTAAGAGTCACATGCATTGCTCCATCCTTCAGTTGCCTCAGGACCCCACATACTACTTGTGCGTAGTCCTCAGAAGGTTGCCTGCTGAGGAATGTGGCCTTCTGCCTGCAAAATGTTCCCCACCTCTGGCCTATTTAATCCTGCATCTAGTTTCTCATCATGGCCAACCAGATTGATTTACTTAGTTAAAGGATAATAATAATAATAATAATAATAATAATAATAATAATAATATATTCTGCTCTTCATCCAGAGATCCCAAGGCAGTTCACAACAGAAAAATACAAAATGAGAACACAAAATACAGTGGTACCTCAGTTCTCGAACGGCTGCATTGACAAACGTTTCGGAACCTGAACACAGAAAACCCAGAAGTAAATGCTTCCGTTTTCGAACGCACCTCAGAAGTCGAACGGCTTCCACTGTGTGTTTTCCGATTTTCTCTCTTTTTAAAAAAATAATGCTTCATTAGTTAACAAAATACAGTTAACAAACAATAATACAGTTCTTGTTACTCGTACAATGAGCACGTGAAGAGCATAAAATATTACACACACAAAATTCAATCATGTAGTGAGAATTAACTACATGTAACCTTAAATGCTGTTTGTTACTGTATGAGTGAAATATTATTGTTGTATTTTACTTCCAGGGTTGGTTGTTTTCCGTTTTCTCAATGCAATTTGCAGACTGCCCTTTGCGCCTCGATTTTCGAACGTTACGGAAGTCAAGCGGTTTTCCGGAATGGATTACGTTCGAGAACCGAGGTACCACTGTATGTAATAAAACAGAACTGAACAAGTAATGCCCCCTCGCAAAAAATCCTGCTATTTAACTGTAAAGTTTTCCAGAGTGGCTCCCCTGAGACTTATAACAAACCCAAGGGAAGAGGAATTGGAGGGAATGGGGAGGAAAGCAAGCAGGTTTAATCACAAGTGTTCTTGGTAGTAGATGTTGCCTATTGGGAGTGGCAGGGCCAAAGGCCAAACAGTCGGTTGTTTGAGCCACTGACAGGGAGAGCCAACCCCATTCTAGTTTTGGCCCCGTCCTCTTCCCTGCTGAGTTCTACAAAGGGCAGCACTGAGGCTAAGGAGGAGCTGGCCAGCTGTTTGTAAATAGGAAGGTGGTTGGGTAGAGAGCTGGCTGGGGGCATTTTGCAATGCAAGAATCTTTTTGCCCTGTGTGGGACTCAAAACCATGGCCCTGTACTGAGATGAAGCGTCTCATGCTCTACTGACTGAGCTTAAGAGTTGCTTGAACAGCTACTAAAAAAGAGTACAGTGGTACCTCGGGTTAAGTACTTAATTCGTTCCGGAGGTCCGTTCTTAACCTGAAACTGTTCTTAACCTGAAGCACCACTTTAGCTAATGGGGCCTCCTGCTGCTGCCGTGCCGCAGGAGCATGATTTCTGTTCTCATCCTGAAGCAAAGTTCTTCACCCAAGGTACTATTTCTGGGTTAGCGGAGTCTGTAACCTGAAGCGTATGTAACCTGAAGTGTATGTAACCCGAAGTACCACTGTACATGCAAAGCACCTGTGGGATGGAGAGCAAAAGGTGTCCTCAACACTGCAGGAAAAGAATCTAGGCTTCTAAGGAACTTGACCTCTTCTTACTTTCATTTTCAAAAAGCCGCTCAGCACATGGTAAACTTTCCTCTTTTCCACCACTGCCCCAAATTCCAGCTGTGATATGTCATTGCTGGATGGTCTATCTTTTCTCGTCTATTTATATCTTGCTTTTTTATTTTGCTTTCCTAGTCTGGCGTATAGGAGTTAAAATGTCATCAAATGCCCTTTCATCTCTTCAGCCCTGAAGCTTCTGAGACAGGTTATTGCAAACGCCCAATTGGGTACTGAACACTGCAAGAGAAACTCTCTTAAAACCTCTCCTTGTCTCTGTATGAGTCTCCTAACACCTCTTTGTGTGCACACTGTTGCTCCATGTTTCCCTCACACTCTTCTGCATGCTTTTTTTTCATTTCGTGGAGGCTCTGGAATTCCTTTCTAATAGCATGATTAATTAGGGAGGCGTAAATGAAATCCTGTACAATTCTGTTCTTGAGGCAGTTTCATGCAGCAATGGGTTGCAATATATAGTGTCAGAATGGGTCGCTGTTTTTAAAGAACAGGCTCAGAGCTGATGGGGCTCAAAAGTGTAGGGTGTGGAATAAAGAAAAATACAAAATAAATGTAACAAGTGAACTTTTCCACTTGTATGTCGACACATTTGGGTGCTGCTGTTAATAAGGTGGTTGTTAAAAGGTTTCACTTCCTTTGGGATACCCTCCTTGATCCAGTTAAATAAAATCAACGTTGGACTAAGTTCTAGTGTAATTCCCATGATTCATGTTATAGGTAAAGGTACCCCTGCCCGTATGGGCCAGTTGTGTCCGACTCTAGGGTTGTGCGCTCATCTCACTTAAGAGGCCGGGAGCCAGCGCTGTCCGCAGACACTTCCGGGTCACGTGGCCAGCGTGACTAAGCTGCTCTGGCGAGCCAGCACCAGTGCAGCACACGGAAACGCCGTTTACCTTCCCGCTATAAAGCGGTCCCTATTTATCTACTTGCACTTAGGGGTGCTTTCGAACTGCTAGGTGGGCAGGAGCTGGGACCGAAGACAGGAGCTCACCCCGCTGCAGGGATTCGAACCGCCGACCATACGATCGGCAAGCCCTAGGCACTGAGGTTTTACCCACAGCGCCACCCGTGTCCCGGCAATTCATGTTATATTTACCACCAAAAATACGTTGTTATGTATTTATTACCCACCCTTCACCTTAAGGTCTTAGGGCAGGTTACAGCAATTAAAGCACAATGTTTAAAACAGTTCAAACCATCTTGCAAACACAGAATGAGGTGGGTCCTAAATATATGTCAAAAGCCAGGGTAAAGATGCGTGTTTGGTATTTACTGAAAGCTGTACAATGGAGAAGCCTGGGGCACCTCTTTTGGGAGAGAGTTTCACAACTTTGGGGCTGCTACAGAGAAGGCCGTCTTCCGAGCCGTCTTCCGAGCCGCCTCCGCCCCAAGTTTCTGAGGATGGGAAAACAACCAATAGGGTCTCCTCTGTCATTCTTAACACCCAAAGCGGTCTGTAGGGCTTTAAACGCTAACATGGGCACCTTGAATTGGGCCTGGAAATAAACTTGGCAACCAGTGAACTTGTATTAAAATACATTAGGTAAGATCCAAACAGAACCGCTGGCAGTAATCTATCTGGCCACTGTATTTTGGACCAGTGGAGGTTTCCAGGTCATTTCGTAAGTGGAACGTGTTCCAAAAATCCAATCTTTTTGGCATTTTGTTCTTTCCCAGTTCGGGCGCTGCAATGAGGAAAGGTGGAAAGGGGCATCAGATGTTGAGGTGAAAGGACTGTGAGCTCATTTTTAGTACCAAATTTAAAAACGCACTGGGCCATGTGCTCAGAGGCTCCTTTTTCCTTAATTCTTTGGGCCCAGCTACACTACGATAATGGCTTATCATTGCCTTTAAATCGTGGGCGGGGGAGACATTTGTTCCACAAACCTAACTGGACCCACACAGGTCCCACTTTGGCCTGTGAGGCTGTTTCCCACAAATGCTCTCTCCTGATGTCCCATGACATCACTCGCAATTGTGCATTGGTAAAGGAGGCTTGCTGCCTCCACCAATCAGCTGCGCAAACCAACTGGGATCAACTGCGCCATTGAGTTCCGCATTGGTTAAAGTGAAGGGCTTTTTAAAAACGCGAATTGCCTGTGCAGGATGTCCAAAGGAGGATCCTAGTATAAGCGGGCTTCAACTCTTTACCACCTTCTGCTGTGGTCTCCATCCAGATCATCTTTCCCTAGGCCTGCAAGTTGTGGAATCAAACCAGCAGCTGCAGTTAAAAGGCACGGATATGTAGTTAATATGTTATGTGGTATATAAATTTCATTAAATTAATAAGTGCGTCTGTGCCTCTGAGCTGCTGTTTTGCACTCCAGCTGGTTCTAGAAAAAGCAAATTGGATTCCTCACTGCGAGAAGCCAAGTTACAGGGAACCAGGCAGAGGGCCTTCTCGGTAGTGGCGCCCTCCCTGTGGAACGCCCTCCCACCAGATGTCAAAGAGAACAACAACTACCAGACTTTTAGAAGACATCTGAAGGCAGCCCTGTTTAGGGAAGCTTTTAATGTTTGATGTATCACAGTATTTTAATATTCTTTTGGAAGCCGCCCAAAGTGGCTGGGGAGCCCAGCCAGATGGGCCGGGTATAAATAATAAATTATTATTATTATTATTATTATTATTATTATTATTATTATTATTAGCCTAGGCCTGCCTGCGCCAATGGAGTGAGCTTCTTAGTTACCGATTCTTACAAAAAATGAGTTTTCAGTACATTTAAACTTAGAAGTTTTGAAGAACTGTTTCCTTTCAAAATACAGAGCTGATATATTTTTTCCCCTCCTTGCTTAATATACATCTTCAATAACCTTCTGAAAATATTTACAAGACTGTTTGGACTCTCTCCACTGTTGACTTGATGGACTAACGTGTTTTCTTAAGCTAACAAAAAGGCCAGAGAATTGTGTGTGCAGAATTGACCAGTTAAATCTTTGGCTTATCAAATTAACTGTTTTGGAATGAATATTTCCCTGCCTGGTTTGAAAAAACAAAACAAAGTTTGCAGTAGGAGACCTCCTTGAACTGTTCCATAATATGCTGTGTTTTTAATCTCTTACCAATTCAGGTCAACATGACCTGCTTGCTGAGAATTGTGTTTTTGTGCTGTGCTTCTGTAGTTGTACCGGTACAGTAAAGACTCCAGACCCGTTTTAAAAAGTGCTGAATAACATCAAATATCTTTGCTATGCAGGCAAAAGGCACAGGAAGAGTAATTGCAGTAAAAGCTCCGCAGTCCCAGTGCGCTGCAGCACAGGTGTGGTTTTGTTTTGTTAACCACATCGCATACCCACTGCCACATTACAAGCTGTTCTTCAGGTTCGCTGGGGCTTTTAAAATTTGGCTTGCTGGATGTTGAGAATGGACCATCCATCAGTCATGGATGCTTTGGAATGACATAGGATGTGGCTTCGAGCAGCGCAGTGGGAGAGAGAGGGATGGATGGATGGAATGTGAAATGGGGACTAGTTGTGTAAGCCGAAGTGCCTTTGTGCTCAATCAAGGGAACTTTGGATCCAACCCATAGTAAACAAAGGAAATTTAAAAAAATCGCTAAAGGGTAGGAGAATTCAGTCATGGCCACCATTTTTAATGTGCATGACAAATGCTGCAATTAGTCCTCCTAGTTCTTGGCTGTTAATAGACGTCATTCCAGTAACTGAAACATGATAGCCTTACACCAGCGTTGACTCATGTCTTGTTTCTCTTCCCCCACCTCTGTGGGCACAGTTCGCAAAAGAAGAGTGGAAGGAGACCATCAATAAACCTTCGCGGCTGCCAGATGTGTGTGGCATGGAGAATTTGGAGCTCCTCCAGGTGCATCTGCTGAGATGGTTTTTTCAGCAACCTCAAGATTACTTCTTACCTGGGTAGAAGGGAAAAGACTGGAATCGCCATTCCTCCTGTTGTCGGGTGTTCTGTTTTTGTGTGTCTGTGTTGTAAATGTATATTTGTATGTGTGATATCCAGCACATGTATGTTCAAAGCCTTGTAACTACATCTGCCCAAGATCAGTTCTTGAACAGCCTTTCATTTCAGAACTTGGGTGTGTGTCTTCCACAAAGATAAGTACCAATTCTAGCATCTGCGGAGTATCTTCATGACATGCAGTCAAGGATCGGCAGACGGTTTTAAACCCGCAGGGAGCAAGTTTTCAGGCAGGAAACCCGGAGTCCTTATTTAAAATACGGACTCCATATTTTTAGAAAACAAATGTTTCGGGTGGGGGTGGGGGAGAGAAAGAGACCCTTCCAAGAAAAAGCAAAGGACTTTGACCACTTACTTCAACTTTGTATGTGATGCGGATAAATCACTGCTGCCGCAGTTACTCCTCTGGTTCTTAACGTGCTTTGACCATGTAGAATGCTTTCTTGATATGGAGATTTAAGCTTGAAATTTCTTTTTATAAGAGATTATTATCCCACTTTTAAGGGCTGCTTCTATTCTCTTACCTCATTGGAGGTAAGTGAAGCCGACAGAAATGGAGATTGAAATTTTAAGCCTTTGCAATATCTGGTGTTTGGTTGGCCTCCTTTTCTGTCAACTTACAGAACATGACGTTTCGGCACCTTTGTTCTGTTATGTCTGAACTGGATGTATTTATGGACCTTTTGGTGTTTTTGTTTCATCCGCGTCGTGTCGAGTTATATTCCTTGGAATCTCTCTCTGTGTGTGAGTATATATATATATATGTGTGTGTGTGCGTGCGTGCACGTACACACACACACACACACACTTCAGTGGCAGCATGCCAAACCTACACAAACGGCTTCTGAGTCATAGCACAGCATCAAGTAGCAGTCCGCTGGTATGCTGTTTTGTATAGGCCAAAACACATGGCAACCAGGTTTTATGCTCTTTGGCTGTGAATTCTGACCAGTGTGACATGGCACGTTTTTAGAAACTTCAGGCTTTCTGTACTTACCAGCACCCACAGAGAGCTGCTGCGGCCTTGCAGCCTCTGAGCACCTCAACAGGGCCCACTTTCACCGATGCCTCCCATGGGCCACCATTTTAAATTACCCACAATGCCCCAGGGCAGCCAACAGAGCATCACTTGAGCATCGTGAGGAATTAAAATGGCTTCCAGTTGGGCGCCACCACTTTTAGTTTCCCACGATGCTGTGGGGCAATACATTGACTGTTCTGAGATGCTGTGGGGATTTTTTAATGGCGGCTTCTCAGTTGTCCAACCTTGCCACTAGGGGTTCGCTGACTTAAAATACCAAGTGGTATTTTACTAACCTCAACCCTGGCTCCAGCCCTTACTCTGCTTCATCCGTCATGTGCATAGGAAATTTTGTATTCTTTCACAGTTCTGGTGCAGCTGGCAGGGAAAATCCAGAGTTTTCAAACACCTGTTAATAACAACACATACTTTTAACCTTACAACAGCTATAACTAACAGGATGGTTTGGTGACCTGAGCTTGGTTCCCACTGTGAAATAAGGACCGTTTTAATGCCACTATGTTAATACCTGCTACTGACTTACAGCTCCAGCTTCACGTGGTACGGGGAATAATCATGCATGTTGGACAAAATCCGCCAGGCTTCTCCTATGCAAACCATGGTATAAGTCAATGGAGCTCAAGCAGTAGTAGTATATGGAATAGGATTCACAGAGTATACGCCAGGTTCATTTTTTAGTTCAGGGTTCTATCTTCAGAAAAACTAGGAAACAACTCAGGTTCAATCTTGTTTTTCCTTCATTTTTCTGACATCTTTTGGCTCTTTGATTTGTTGAGTGCAAAACTAAAAGGCAGAGCAGAGCATCAGGCCAGGATGAAAGCATTTTGATTAAAGTTGCCCAACTCTGATGTGCTATTTTTCACATCATTGTCTCTTGAATATGGACCATAACTGCAAACATTTTGCCTTAAAGGAAGTTGTGTTGAAATCAGTGATACGTTTTTCCGAATCAGTGCACTGAGAATACCAAGGCTAAAGTTGTATGTTTCTGTAGGGCAGTCATCCTAAAACAGGTGTCTTCCAGATGTTAGGACTAAAACTCCCATCATCCACGATAGTGAAGGGCTGATGGGAGTTGTAGTACATACTCCCTGGCGGGTGCTATTGGACAAAGGTGGGTCTTTTTGTTCGTTTCTGCATTGTATGCAAAGACTGCGTTAAAGAAACCATATTAACATGTTTGTTCCTATTGGCACTTAGGTGTGTAAAACAGAAACGTGCATTTTTAAAAACAATTTTGGAAAACAAATCCAAATCTCTCTTCTCACTTGCAAAGCTTTAAAACAGTCCCAAAAACAAGGAAAAAACGGAGGGGGGAAGAGAAGGTAGTTGCCTCCGTATAAACATATGCATTTTAAAAGTTTCAGTCTGTAAATACGATGCAGCTATTTAGAAGATAGCGTGGGTTTGTTCTGAAAAATCAAAGATTAAGTAGCTTTCTCTCCCCCTTATTTTTTCTCTTTTGACAAAATGCCTGTCAGGTTTACAGCCTGCCAGGCGGCTAGGTTTTTTTTTGGGGGGGGGGCTTCTGAAACACCCTGCTTCAGACATATGGAGAGCCACAAAACAGGAATGGCTTTTTATAAGAGAGCTGAGACTGCAAACTGGCAGGCTTTTTTTAGAGGTGTTTCCCCCCCCCCCTTAAAGAATGAACTCAAATCATCTGCGTGCATTAAAAAAAAAAATCTATCTATCTATTGAGACTGCAGCCCTGCACTTTCTTGGGTACTTGGCTCACACAAGCCACATTGCATGGGCAGGAATGCTCCATGGGTGTTTTTCAACAAGTGGTGCTATGCTAAGTTGACCAAAACATCATAAATACTTGTGCAGTATTGCATTGTCTGAAACCCGAGGGATGGGGTGCAGAAAGCACTGCTACTGCATGACCTCCATTCAGTTCAATAGGGCTTGCATGGGAGTTTGCCTACATCACATTAGGATCAAGAGGTGTTGTGGAATGAATGGTTTTCAATTTCTGTAGTGCCTAATACAATATAAAAGTTGTCAAAACAGACACACACAGAGTAAATGTTTCTCTGTTTTTCTGTTACAGGGAGGGTTCTGTATTACTAACTGAGCTGGTTTCATATTTGTCAGATCAGGTGCAGAGTTCATTGGTGATGACCGTCAGAAAATGTTCAATTAAAGATGAAGGCAGTAAAGTTTGAAGCTCTCTTGTGCTTCGGACCAGGAGTGGTCAGTGGGGTGCCCTGTAGATGCCTTGGGCAGCGCCTCCCATTGATGGCCCTTGACCATCCAAGATGACCATTGACCACCCTGGCTGGAGGTGGCAGGAGTTAAGAAGCACCTGGAGAGAATCACGTTGGCTCCCTTTGGCCCAGATGAACCATCAGTATTATGGTGATATGACCATTTAGCAGCACCTAATTTTAGAGGTCTGTGTGAGCTGGTAGCTAGCCAGAGAGAGTCCAGTGATCATTGTCCTATTGGAGCAGAAGCAGGCATCCTTTTAATGCCAAGCAGTCTTCTAGGAGTAGAGAAAAGAGGCCGGGAACCTGCTCTAAGCCATCAAATTGTCCTTTTGAGATAGGACTTCTGAGGATACTTTAACTCTTTCTAGTTCTGTATGCATTCCTGTTTCTACTCCTTGGAACTTAAAGCTTTCTGAGTTGCACACTATAATGCAGTGCAATTGTCTGACTTTTCATACTTCATTCCGGTTCACTAAGCTTACTGTTAAGGGCACATATCATGAAAATCTACATACAATGATGGTTCAGAAATAACTAGAACTGGGCCATTTCCCAAAAAGGTGTTGTGCATTTTTAGTCTAATGGTTCTTGCTGAGGTGAGAGACTGCTTTATGTTCTAAAATATATGCACTTACCCTTTTTTAAAAACAACAAACAACCCTTGGCTTTAGGCTCCACTTTCAAGATCTTGGAACAGAATACTATATGACAAAATACTGTGTTTCCACTTAATACTGTTTACAAATGTTATCTTCTCTTACTATTTTTGATACAGATAATACTGTTTGTAAGCTATAAACTTTCTCGAATCTTTGGGCAAAGTTTCTGTGGGGAAAAACATGAATGGGAATATATAGGAATGCCAGCGCTGTATGCTGCTGTTATTGTAATAAAAATATCCAAATGATTTTTTCAAGGTATTATTACAAGGTGGTTTTTCTCCCGCTTTAAGTAGGTTTATTGTTTCATGTGATTCGGAAGGCATTCCTTTATATCAGAAATTGAGGTCCAAGAAAGAAAGAAATTGAGGTCCATGGTCTGCATCTTTGTGTTTCTCAAGTACCGTATTTTTCGCTCTATAAGACGCACCAGACCATAAGACGCACCTAGTTTTTGGAGGAGGAAAACAAGAAAATTCTGAATCCCAGAAGCCAGAACAGCAAGAGGGATCGCTGCGCAGCAAAAGCAGCGATCACTCTTGCTGTTCTGGCTTCTGGGATAGCTGCGCAGCCTGCATTCGCTCCATAAGACGCACACACATTTCCCCTTACTTTTTAGGAGGGAAAAAGTGAGTCTTACAGAGCAAAAAATACGGTAGTCACTGCAGTGGTTTTCTCATCCTGAAATGCTTCGTGTACATGTCACTCTGGTGACCAACTTGGCTCAGTTGGGGATTGGATGGTTCAAAAAAGAAAGCACATAGATCTTGTGGATCGTTTTGCATTCCAACCCCACTACCGCTTTGTTATTAAATTGCTAAGGGAGATAATCGGCATCTATAAAGTCAGAGAAAACTTTCATAACCAACCATTGGGATTCCCCTTCCTCACCATGCAGAAAGAAGACATATATTCCCTCTTTATCATAGAATCACAGAATTTGAACGGACCTTGAGGATCATCCAAGTCCAACTCCCTGAAATGCAGGAATATGCAGTTGTCCCATTTGGGATCGAGCCTACAACCTTGGCATGCCATGCTCTAACCAGCTATCAATGCTTTCCTTTCCTTTTACCCCATGGGGCTGCATTCACAGCTACCAAGCACATAAGTTGCATTGGGCTATCAGACAAGAGGGAAGATGGTAGGACTGATGAGATATTTTTAAGGCATCTGTGCAGGGACAGTCAACATGTTGCCCTCCAGATGTTGGAGACATCTGTTGGTCTGCTCCCAGGCTTTTGACTAATAGAAAGACTAATAGAAGAAATATGGCCTTTTAAACTGGGGCAGGGAGTTATTGCTCTCTGTTGCTATGTTACGTATTTTTGTGTTTTTATATTATAAACCACCCCGTGATCCTCAGATGAAGGGCGCTATAGAAATTTAATAAATAATAATGGCAATAAAGCTCTGAATAGGCCCTGAGTTGCTGGGAACCACAGGTGCTGCTTGCCCGCCGGCCATGCTTGTGAGCTGCCTGTAGGCTTCTGGTTGGCACCATGAAAGCAGGATGTTGGAATAGATGGGCCATTGGCTTGATCTAGCAGGGTGGTTCTACTGCAGGTATTAATATTGTGCAGCATGGATGCATAAAAGCTGACTCCTTTTGGAAGAAAAAATTGTCCAGACCCATAATTACGATTCAAAGCTTTACTAACCAGGACTTCTTAAAAAAACAGGTACGAAAACATAAATGATGCATCCAAAAAGATGTATAAGGCATATGCATATTTGAGCATATGTTCTTCTTAAATATATGTACATAACATAATTACGATCAGAGTAAAAATCAAATCTCTCTCCCTTTAGCTTGCATTAGCCTGCATCTAGCTACTTGAGATAGGGTTGCCATATTTCAAAGAGTGAAAATCCAGACAGAAAAGTTGTTGAGCTTTGCCCAAAGTTGTTTATGGGAAATTGGCACTGCCGACATGGGCTGCCATACATATTTTCCTGGATAACTACAAATTTCCACCCGGACAATGCTAGAGACAGCAGTATTCCATATATGTCTGGGAATATATGCTATAGGGTCATTTATGGACCTAATAGGTATCTAAAGCTATTTGCACATAACAAATAAGAGCCTACACAACACAAAACACTGTTGCTGTATGTAGGTTTTATTTTATTTGTTTTTTATCTTATATTTTGGAAATGTACATCCAGTTTTTCCCCCCTTTAATTTTTTTGGGGGCCACCAAGAGAGTGGGGCCCTAAGCTTATAGCTTGCTTAAAGGTAAAGGTAAAGGGGCCCCTGAACATTAGGTCCAGTCGTGGCTGTCTCTGGGGTTGCGGCGCTCATCTCACTTTATTGGCCGAGGGAACCAGCGTACATGGCCAGCATGACTAAGCTGCTTCTGGCGAACCAGAGCAGCGCACGGAAACGCCGTTTACCTTCCCGCCAAAGCGGTACTGAAATATACTCAGAGTCGAGTGTGGATTCCATGCTCTTTATTCAGCTCATAGTGGTGAGGAGGAATGGAAGTTCCCCCACAATATCTGCTTTATATACATTATTTACACAATGGGCTGCACATGATTGGCTAATTCCGGGATTCTCCTGTAGGCCAATCAGGTTGTGGATTCACTTCCACCTGGAGCTGGATTGGGTGGCTCCTGTGGACCAATCATACTGCTCCATTGTTCTAGGACCAATCAGACTGCTGCATTTTGGATCCTATTGTTCTAGGACCAATCAGACTGCTGCATTTTGGATCCTATTCAACTCAGTACATAACAGGTACCTATTTATCTACTTGCACTTGGACGTGCTTTCGTTTTTTTTTTTAAATAATTTTTATTAATTTTCCAAACACATAATAAAGACAAACAATACACAAAACAAAAACATACAAACATATAAACATGTATAATTTCATAATCTTATTTTCATGCACCTTACTTCCCGGACTTCCCCATACCTCCCCTTTTCTGCATCCTTGTTTTACATTTCTTCAGCAACTCCTCCAATTAACTAATTATTTTAATTCACTTTCATTAGATTCCTTTTTTTTTTAACTTATTGATTACAGCTGCAATTCTCTATTTCTTAGTTCCTTAACATCCTAACACTCCTCAATTTTTAAGATATATTTTAAATTTCTTCCAATCTTCTCCCACTGTCTCTTTCCCCTGGTCACGGATTCTGCCGGTCATCTCTGCCAGTCCCATATAGTCAATCACCTTCGTCTGCCATTCTTCCAGAGTGGGTAGTTCTTGTGTTTTCCAATACTTTGCCAAAAGAATTATTGCTGCTGTGGTAGCATACATGAAAAACGTCCTATCCTTCCTTGACACCAATTGGCCAACCATGCCCAGGAGAAAAGCCTCAGGTTTCTTAGGAAAGGTCCATTTAAGGACTTTCTTAATTTCATTATAGATCATTTCCCAAAAGGCTTTTATCTTCGGGCAGGTCCACCAAAGGTGATAGAAGGTACCTTCAGTCTCATTGCATTTCCAGCATTTGTTATTGGGCGAATGGTAAATTTTTGCAAGCTTGACTGGGGTCATGTACCACCTGTAGATCATTTTCGTTATGTTTTCTCTTAAGGCATTACATGCCGTAAACTTAGCACCGGTGGTCCATAACTGCTCCCAGTCAGCAAACATAATGTCATGACCGATATCTTGCGCCCATTTAATCATAGCTGATTTCACCGTTTCATCCTGTGTATTCCATTTCAACAGCAAATTATACATTCTTGACAAGTTCTTAGTATTGGGTTCTAACAGTTCTGTTTCTAATTTTGACCTCTCCATCTGGAAGCCTATTTTCCTGTCCTGTTTAAATACCTCGTTTATCTGAAGGTAATGCAGCCAGTCTCGTACTTTGGACTTTAATTTCTCATAACTCTGTAATTTAACTTTTTCACCATCTTGTTCTAAAATTTCACAATATTTTGGCCATTTAGACTCCATATTAAGTTTTTTCACCTCTTTGGCTTCCATTGGTGACAACCACCTGGGAGTTTTACTTTCCAATAAATCTTTATACCGCATCCAAACATTGTATAATGCTTTCCTAACAATATGGTTTTTGAAACCTTTATGCAATTTTACCTTGTCATACCATATATATGCATGCCAGCCAAATCTATTATCAAACCCTTCCAGATCCAAAATGTCTGTGTTCTCAAGAAGCAGCCAATGTTTCAACCAGCAGAAAGCTGCCGATTCATAGTAGAGTCTTAAGTCCGGCAGGGCAAACCCCCCTCTATCTTTTGCATCAGTTAAAATCTTAAATTTTATTCTGGGCTTTTTGCCCTGCCAGACAAATTTAGATATGTCTTTCTGCCACTTCCTGAAACAGTCCATCTTGTCCACAATCTGCAACGTCTGGAATAAAAACAACATTCTAGGCAATACATTCATCTTGATGACAGCAATTCGGCCTAACAAGGAAAGTCTCAACCTTGACCATATTTCTAGATCTTTTTTTACTTCTGTCCAGCATTTATCATAATTGTCTTTAAATAAGTTCACATTCTTAGATGTTAAATTTACCCCCAGGTACTTCACTTTTTTTGTTATCACTAAACCTGTTTCACTCTGAAACTTCTCTTTTTCAGCAATTGTTAGATTTTTCTCCAACACTTTCGTTTTCTGTTTGTTCAATTTAAATCCTGCTACTTGACCAAATATCTCAATTATTTCTAATACTCTTTTAGTACTAGTATCTGGCTGTTGCAAGGTCAATACTAAATCATCTGCAAATGCCCTTAATTTGTAATGTCTGGCTCCGACCTGAACTCCTTTAACCAACTGGTCCCCTCTGATCATGTTTAACAAAACCTCCAAGACTGATATAAAAAGTAAAGGGGATATTGGGCATCCCTGTCGTGTACCTTTTTCTATAGGTATTTCTTCCGTAACCACATTATTTACAATTAACTTTGCTTTTTGTTCAGAGTATATTGCACCTATACCGTTTTCAAAACCTTGGCCTACCCCCATCCCTTGGAGATTCTTGGACGTGCTTTCGAACTGCTAGGTTAGCAGCAGCAGGGACCGAGCAATGGGAGCTCATGGGATTCGAACCGTCAACCTTCTGATCGGCAAGTCCTAGGCTCTGTGGTTTAACCCACAGCACCGTAAATCCGGCACTGCCTAAGGGTCATATAGTCCAATCCCCTGCAATGCAGGAATCCTGCCCACAGCCATCCCTGGGTAGGCTCGAACCACCAGCCTTCTGGTTAACAGCCAGACGTCCTGACCCACTGCAGCACGGAAGGATTTTTATCTCTATATAGATTGAG